GCAAACTGACTGAGGGTCCACTTGATCCCCTCGTCCGGATCATTGACTAAGATGTTCAACAGAACTGGCCCCAACACTGAGCCCTGGGGAACACCACTTGTGACCGGCCGCCAACTGGATTTAGCTCCATTCACCACCACTCTTTTGGCCCAGCCATCCAGCCAGTTTTTTACCCAGCAAAGAGTATGCTTGTCCAAGCCATAAGCAGTCAGCTTCTTCAGGAGAATGCTGTGGGAAACTATGTCAAAGGCTTTAATAAAGTCTAGACAGCCAACATCCACAGCCTTTCCCTCATCCACTAAGTGGGTCACCTTGTCATCAAAGGAGATCAGGTTAGTCAAGCAGGACCTGACCTTCATAAACCCATGCTGACTGGGCCTGATCACCTGGTTGTCCTGTACATGCCCTGTGATGGCATTCAGGGTGATCTGCTCCATAACCTTCCCCAGCTCTGAGGTCAGGCTGACAAACCTGTACTTCCCTGGATGCTTCTGCTGCCCCTTCTTGTAGTTGGACATCCCATTTGCTAACTTCCAGTCAACTGGGACCTCCCCAGTTTGCCAGGACTGCTGATAAATGATGGAAAGTGGCTTGGTGAGCATTTCCACCAGCTCCTTCAGTACCCTTGGGTGGATCACATCCAGCCCCATAGACGTGTGTGTCCAAGTGGTGTAGCAGCTCACAAACCATTTCCCCTTGGATTATGGGGGCTTCATTCTGCTCCCCATTGCTGTCTTTCAGCTCAGGGGGCTTGGTACACAGAGAACAACTGGTCTTACTATTAAAGACTGAGGCAAAGAAGGCATTAAGTACCTCAGCCTTTTCCTTATTCTTTGTCACTATGTTTCCCCTTGCATCCAATAAGGGATGAAGATTCTGCCTCCTTTTTTTGCTGATGTATTTATATAAACATTTTTTATTGTGTTTTATGGTGGTAGCCAGATTAAGTTCTAGTTGGGCTTTGGCCCTTCTAATTTTCTCCCTGTGTAACCTCATGAGGTCATTGTAGTCCTCCTGAGTTGCCTGCCTCGTCTTTGAGAGGTCATAAACTCTTTTTTTTCCTGAGTTCCAGCCAAAGTTCTCCATTCAGCCAGGCCGCATCCTGTGATGAGTCTTGGAACGTGTCTTGCTGCACAAGAAATGTTTAATCTTTTTACTTGAGCACAGGGCAGCTTCTTTCCTTCATAGAGTTTAACAGCAAAACAGAATTGTCTGCAGAATGTTTTGTTACAGCATATGCTTTTTTTTTTTTAAAAATAGCCTATTTCATGGAAAGAATTTGCCAACATCCATCCTTTTGTGCCCCTGGATCAAGCTCAAGGGTATCAGCAGCTTTTCAAGGATTTAGAGAAGGACCTATGTGAGATTACAGGCTATGACAAAATCTCCTTCCAACCTAACAGGTAGGAAATTTTTCTGAACATTTGCTCCTTAACATGATTCCAAAAACTTGTCTCTAAAGAAAATGTGCAAGCCAAAAATGGGAGAAGTTTCTAAAATTAAATTTGACAAAGAGAAGCCTTCAATGCAAGGTTATGAAAACAAGATTTGTTTTTTCAAAACTGCAGAACCTTATTTTGTCTCATCTCTTCTAAAAGTTTAGTGATTTGGTCTTTTCTATTTTAATCTTTTTTCCTATGTTTTCCTCTCTATGAAGGCTAGTTTCTCCACCATTGCTTGCTTAAAATGGTGATGTTACTGGTATTGTCCTGAGCTAAAATTAAAGATTTGAAATAGGAATAAAATGTATGAGCTGGCAACTATATAATTGTTGAAACTGATATTTGATGCACTAGGTAATACTAGGTTTGACTGAAGAATGCCTAGGATCTGCATGCTGATTGAAATAAATAAAGCAGAGCTGAATGAATACTGCTGCAGCCTGTTTGTGTCTGTTTCTAGTTTTGATACAAAATGAGCAGCAAGGACTTCCTCTACACTTGGGATGTCACTGACAGAGTTCTTACGTTTCACTGTGTACACTTTACTATGCATTTCAGTATTAGTTTGCCTCTCTGTAGTCAAGCACATAGTCTTCTCCTAGGTGCAGAAATGGGTATCAACTCAGCCACCAAAAGGATTTAACATCATAGTGTAAGCACATAAAATGGCATAATGTTTTTCATCTGCTGTTTGCAAAAGAACCAAGAGCTGCTAATATATTCTTGTCCATTTGTCATTTCATCCATGGGATGTGCTTATTTTATAATTTGCTGACACTTGCCTAAAGCCATTGAGAAGGATTAGGGCTGGAAAATTTTGAAGTTTCAGTAGAAAGCTGGCACTTTTTTGTTTGAGTGCGTGTGTAACAGGGTTTGTGTTCCTCTTGCAGTGGAGCCCAAGGAGAGTACGCGGGTTTGGCTGCAATCAAAGCTTATTTAAATGCAAAAGGAGAACGTCATAGAACTGTAAGTGTCAACACTTGTGTGGGGAAGAGCTTTGGGTGGCAAGTGGAGAAAGGAGAGTTGATTCAGCAATGCGGACTCACCTAGAGAGAAACTAGGTTGAGTATCCTCATCTGTGACAAGCTTTCAGTATTCTCTGCTTCCCTCATGAGTCATGGGTACCATCTTAAAAGTCTTTATAGACAGTGGGAATGAGGAAAGGGGACTTTCTCAAAGGGTGATTGTACTGCGTCTGGCTGGGATGGAGTTAGTTAAGTTTCTCCATAGCAGCCCATATAGTGCTGTGCTTTGGATTTGTGGCTAAAGCATTGTTAGTAACACAGGGATACTTTGGCTATTGTGGAGCAGTGCTTGCACAGTGTCAAGGGTTTCTCTGTTTCCCACTCTGCCCTGACCCGTCCACCATCCCCCCTGCCAGGGTGTAGGCTGCAGGTGGGCAAGAGACTGGGAGAGACACAGCCAGGACAGCTGACTCAAACTGAGCAAAGGGGTGTTTTGTGCCATGTAATGACATACTCGCAATAAAAGCTCTCAGAAAGGAGTACAAAGCGGGGAAGGTCATGGTTATGGCATTTTTCTTCCCAAGCACCACTGTATGTGCTGAGGCTCTGCTTTCCAGGAAGTGGCTGGACATCTGCCTGGCCATGGGAACTAATGAATTAATTCCTCTTCTTGCTTTGCTTGCAAACATGGCTTTTGGTTTCCACACTAAACTGTCATTCTCTCAATCCCTAAGTCTTCTTACCTTACTTCTATTTTCTCCTTGTCCCATGGGAGACAGGAGTGAGCAAGCAGCTGTGTGGTTGTTTGTTGGCGAGGTCAACCCATCACAGTCCTTTTTAGCGCCCAGCATGGGGCTTGAGGTAATGACAGTTTTGATCTGAGCATGTTAATTTGTTAATTGGCAGGCTCCTGTGTGGGTCACAGAGTTTGCTGGCTTTACTGTGTATTAGAGTTTAGGGCTTTTTAATGGCTGCTTTTGGCTCTTGCTGTTTGCTGAGCTGCTTATCAATGTATTTTGCTGTGTTTGGATATATTTTGATAAAAGCAATAGCTGTATGCCTGGCATATGACCCTGGCTGTGATGCCGTTCCTGTGCTGCATGAGCTACCTCACAGAGAGAACAAGGGATTACACCTCCCTCTTCTCCTCTGGGGTTGATGTGACCAGTACTGTTGCATGGGCTCCTGAGTTTTTTGTGCATCCTTATGTAAGATGTTTGATCCTATTATCTAACATTGTTGGCTTGTTGTTGGGTGCATGGAACCCGGTTTGGTCCTGGCGCAAGAGTAAACAACTTGTTGAGCTGACAGAGAAATGTGCCCCAGGGCAGTTGATCCTTAGCTGACAGGGTTTGTAGGAGGGTTTGGGCAGGTGCCTAGGGCTGTTACCACCTCCTATAACCTGGGATTTTACACCTGAGCAGGCTTGCAATCTTGTTGAATTGGCACACCACTTGATGGAAGCGTGCTTTGCCTACCCCGATGAGATCCAGCAGCTCCTAGCACTGTTTTGGGGCTTGGCCTCTGCCTGTTGGACCTCTGTCTAGCACCATCACAGCAGCAGGGGAAAGTGGGCCCCTAGCTCTAAGGGCACGATGGTTGAGACAGGGATGCAAACCTCAACCACAGTGATTGCCCCAGCAGTAAAAAGGAAGCACTGGCAGTGGAGGTCAACAGGACTGTACTATCAATTAATAAAGGAGGAGGAGGAGGAAGGGTCTGATCAGGAAGCCAGTCCTTTGGCAAGGAAACGTAATGAGGAAGTGATAGAAGTCATCTAAGAGGCAGAAACCACCCCATCCCTAACCCTGAGCAAGCTCCAAGATGTGCGGAAAAATTAGGGCTGCCAGCCAGGCAAGCATATTGCTGCCTGTTTGCTCAAACGCTGGGATGCTGAAGGGGATAGTCATGAATTGAGGGCAGGAAAGCCCAGCAGCTGGGATCCCTCATTAGGGACCAGGGAATCAACAAAGAAATCAGAACAGAGTTGACAATCTGTAGCCTCCGGAGGTGGTTCCTGTTGAGTGTGAGGTGCCTTCTCAAGGGTGATCTTGTCAATTACTGAGGCCATTGAACCCCTGCTGAGGAAGGTGTTCAGTATCTAAGAGAACTAGCAGTGGTGGAGGTGGTCTACAGGGACCTGGACAACAAACAGGTCTCCACAGATCTGCATGACATCCAGTACACATGGGCCATGTAGAGGAGGTCTGTGGAAAATGAATCCAGTTCATACGCCAACTCACTGATGAGGATGGACTGGCCACATCTTGCGATACCAGCTATGGAGAGATTGTCTTGCTGGTTCCAGGGTGTTTCAGTGAGAAATTCTCCACTTCTTATCCCCACAGGCAGTGTCTTGGCTGTCAGGGATGCCCTATGGAGACAGCCTACCCACGCCACAGGGAAAGGGAGCCCCAGGTGCACATCACATGGCACCCTCTGGGTCTTGCGTAGCTGGGGTAAGGCACGAGGAAAAGGGACAGTACATTCACCTCAAAGCTAGAAGTCCATGTACCTGAACTGCAGGGGAAGACAGCTGCTAAGATAGGACCAACCAAGAAGGCTGCTGCACCAGTTGCTGCCAAGACAGCGGAAAGCAACGAGCAGTTCCCCAGATACAGAATAAGGGCTGAAAATGCCTCTCCTCCTGAGTTTGGTGAAGGGATTTCTGGTCTGACACCACAGGAGTCAGAGAGTGAATACTGCAATGAGGAGTAAAGTGTCCCCAGTTCTGGCTAGGCAGAGGAAGGGGATAACAAATTTTAATGGACTGTAGAGATTTGATGGCCTGGCACATCAGATCCATGGGGGTATAAGGCTTTGGTGGATACCGGTGCACACTGTACCATAATGCCATCAGGTTAGGAGGCGGCGGGACCAATCTGGATTTGTGGAATGACGGGGGATGCCAACATTGGAGGCTGAGGTGAGCCCAATGGGAGACAAATGGCAGAAGCATCCTATTGTGATGGCCTGGAGTCTCCATGTATCCTTGGCAATGACTACCTCAGGAGAGGGTATTTCCAAGGACCCAGGAACGTACTGGCGGGCCTTTCGTGTAGCCACACCAGACTCAAAGAAGATGAAGCAACTGCCTACCTTGCCTGGCCCGGTTGCCGCATGACAAAGAACAGCAGGTGCTGGTTACTACCGTGATGGTGCACAGTGGCAGCATCGCACCAGGTGAGGCTCCCTGGTTACCATCTGTAAGTTGATTCATCTATTGGAGAGCCAAGGAGTGATAAGCAAGACTTAATAACCCTTAAATACTCCCATAAGGCCAGCGCAAAATTCTGTCACAGGTTGGAGGTTAACAGTAGACTATCATGGCCTGAATAAAGTGATGCCACCATTGAGTGCTGCCCTGTGTGACAAGCTAGGACTCCAATATGAATGGAAGTCAAAGGTGGCCAATCAGCACGCCAGAAGTGATATTGTGAAAGCATTTTTGTTTATCCCTGTGGCAGCAGAGTGCAAGTCACAGTTTGCTTTCATGTGGCAGGGTGTCCAATATACCTGGAACCAACTGCCCCAGGTCTGCAAGCACAGCCCTACCTACCTGTCAGTCTTTGACTGATACAGACTGCATTGGGACAGGGTGAAGCCTCTGAACACCTGCAATACAGGAATGACATCATTTTATGGGGCAACACAGCAGAGGAAGCGTTTAAGAAGGGGGAAAGAATAATCCAGATCATTTGGAAAGCTGGTTTTGCCATAAAACCGAAGCAATGTCAACAGGCCTGCACATGAGATCCATTTCTTGGGATTAAAAGAGCAAGCCAGACATTGTCACACCCCTGGGGCTGCAATCAATAAGATAGTAACTGTGTGCCCACCAGTTAACAAGAAAGGAGCGCAGGCTTGTCTAGGTATTGTGGATTACTGGAGAATGCATGTGTACGCCAGGTTGTAGTCGGCTTGTGAGCCCTCTCTATTGAGTGACCCTAAAGAAGAACTATTTTGAGTGGGGCCCTGAGCAGCAATCGATCTTTGAACAGATCAAAGAGGAGATAGTTTGTGTGGTAGCCCTTGGGCCCATCTGGATGGAACCGGCTGTGAGAAGCACAGCGTCAACTGGAGCCTCTGCCAGAAAACACCTGGAGAAATACAAGGTCAGTCTTCAGGGTTTTGGAACTGGACGTATTGAGGGTTCATGGCCCACTACACTCTGACTGAAGAAGAGATACTAGCAATGTACAAGGGAGGCTGAGCTGCCTCAGGAGTTGTTGGTACAGAAGCACAGCTTGTCTTGGCACCACAATTGTCTGTGCTGTACAGGAATTTCAAAGGACACTGCATAGAGCAAGTGGGTAGCGTTGGTTACGCAACAGACTTGGATGGGGAACCCCAGCCACCCAGGAATTCTGGAGGAGACCATGGACTCCTCGGAAGGCATAAGTTTCAGAGCATCACTCAAGGAAGTGACTCCTTGTGCAAGAAGTGCCACCATGTAATGAGTTACCAGAAGATGAAAAGCAGTATGGTCCCTGTTGCATTGTGGGAAATCATCAGAAGTGGAAGGCTGCTGTGTAGCGTCCTACACAACAAGTTGTCAAAACCGTCAAAGGAGAAAGCAAGTCAAGCTGGTTTGCAGAAGCTGGCCCTAGAGATAGCTAAACAAGAAAAGCATCCAGTACTCTGTGTCAATACTGACTCATGGATGGTAGCAAATGCTCTGTGAGGGTGGCTGCATCATTGGAAACAGACCAACTGGCAGCACACAGGTAAACCCATCTGGACTGCTGCCTTCTGGCAAGACATTGCTGCCCAGGTAGAAAGCATTACTGTAAAGGTACATGTCATACAGTTGCTCCCAAGCCCAAGGGCAGCATCACTGAAGAACACCAAAACAACAAGCAGGTAGACCAGGCTGCCACCATTGAAGTGACTCAGGTAGACCTGGACTGGGAACTTAAGGATGAGTTATTAATAGCTCAGTGGGACCATGAAACATCAGGACATTTAGAGAGCGACCTGAAGCTTACAGATAGGGTTGTGATCAAGAGGCGGACCTAACCATTGAAGCCATCACATAGGCTACTCATGAATGTGAAACAGTGATTCAGATCTTCAGTGAGATGGATCTAGGCCCAGATGTCCCTGCCTCAAAAGAAAATGGGCAATGACAGTTTTTTTTGCTTTTTCAAGGTGTATGACACTCCCTCTCCAGCTTTTTCGGTTACAAAGGAAACAGGAACTGATTATCTATAACTTGTACTGCTTATAACATCAGTTTGTTCCCAATATGGCCACTCCTGACAGAAGAAGCAGACAAGCCTCTGGTATGCCTTGGTAGCTACTCATGGAAGTCTCTAGGTTCATCCAGTTCTTGTCCATTCAGACTGTTTCAGATTTCAGATTTCAGTAGGATATATGGAGGTAACTTTGCTTCACAAGGGCTACAAAAACTGTAGATGAGTAATGCAAATCGTGTTTGATTCACTGAGGATCATCTTCAGTTGGTAATGCTAGAATCTAAAGGCTTGATTTGTATTCTTTTCTCTACTAACTACCTGAAACTTCAACCTCAAGGAGTCACCTCTCAGCTATACCATTGTAACCTGACAAAAGACAGTTAACTACAGAGGTATAACAACTGTAGTTAACCCCAAAGACGAATCAATTCTTACTAGTACATTATATTTAATAGAATTTTGAATCCTAATTTTCTTTTAAAAAAAATTCTTTATTTGCATTTAATGGCAGGCAGTTACAGCTGAAAAATCTGAAAGTAAGATTGTTCTCTTACGTGCTTTCTGAACAATCTATGATGGCTGGAAGAAAGGCTGTGTTAATTGTAGGTTGTGGGTACAAGTTTATTTGGAAGTGAAATAGGTTGAAATATGTAAATGTTGGTGGTAGCAAATTTCATTTTGGAGAGATGATTGCATGTTTGTCCTATAAGAACAGCTAGATTAGCCCAGACAAAAAGTCTGTCAGTCCCAATATCCAGTCTTACAGTGGTCAATAGCAGACTGATAGTCTTCTCTTACAATGAGGAATACAAGGACAAAGCAAGTATACAATGATACTTACCCAGCATATGGCCTCAGCTTCTACATATCTGTGGTTTGGGAACTTCCCGATCCAAAGGAATCCAAAGGCACTGCTTACGCATTTTTCTACAATTAAATCTGATCACTTGACCTCTTATGAGGAAGCTTCTGATACTTACAATATCTTGGAAAAAATGTTCTGTGGCTCCATCACCCATGATCATGTAATCATATTTCTTCATAAGAAATGCTTCCTTTTATTTTATCAAACTTGACATCTTACAATTTCATCTAATACCCTCTCACTCTCAAAAGACAATGAGCAGTTCTTCCCTGTTCACAGTAGGCATATCATGTTAATGCTGAGATTTTTATTATATCCTTACCAATCCTCATCTCTGTCTTCCTAGTTGGATTCAAGTTATTTGTCCATCCTTCTCAAAAAAGCCATCTCATAACTTTGGTTATCCTCAGAGCTTCTTGTTCCTTTTTCTTTGTTCTCTATTTCATTTCTAGTTTTTAATGTAGTTGCTTCTTTCCCCTCAAAGACTGCAAGATCTTTTGAGTGGCAGTAGGTTCAAAACTACGATCCCAGTTTTGTATTGTTAAGATTTGTTTTCTTGTGTAATATTCTAGATTTGTCTGGCTCCAGTATATTCTGTTTTGAATGCTATTAGTACTGTGGTTTCTTTTCTGAACAACACAATCAGTTCTTTTAGTGACCTGGGTGATTTCATGTTAACAGGATATTTGGCATTTCACTGTATATCTCCATTATAGACCAATTATGAGTAAGCTGAAATGCTAGGGAACCAGCACTGATATTTATAATGTTCTATTAGGATGACCTTTCTCCACAGTGAAAACTTACTCCTTATCTTTTCATTTCTTTCCCGTGTTTTCATGAAATATTTATCCATGTGAACCTTCCCACTTACCCCACTGGAAATTAGTTTAGGATCATTTTTTGGGATGACATCAAAAGCTTCTTGGAAATCTGAGATTAGCTAGATCTTCTTTCACACAGTCATAGAGCTGGCTTTAAACAGTAGGAAAAAAGTCGTTAGTGCAATAATGTCCATACTTTCTGAACCTGATTTTATACTTGGCTTTGGAACTCCTTTGCCTTCTCAAAATGGAAAGGTCATTGTCCTGCCCTCCTGGGATCTATAACATCTGTGTGAGGAAACTACCTAAAACTGAATGAGTTTTGTCTTGTTCTGTGTTCCTTTGCTGCATCCAGACCACCTCAAACTTCTTGGAAATTTGCCACTCTTTACAATTACAAGCTTTGTTTTGTGAGTAGTTTTACTCAGTAGGAAGTGAAATTAGGTTGAAGTTTTGTTCCTTGGACAGTTATCTCCTGATTATCCTTGTATCCTTTGCTGTTTCTCTGATTCTTTACAAGATCCTTGGGCTTCTGTGAGTTTCTATGGGCCTTCTATGCTCAGAAATACGCAGAGGTTAACTGCACAGAAGAGAGAGATGACGGGCCGCGTGCGGTTACTCACATTTAACATATTTCAAATGTTATAGTAAAATCAAGATAATCTTGAGGAAAAGGGAAAAAAAAAAAAAAAAAGAAAAGAAGAAAGCCCAAAAAACATTGACCTTTCAACTGAAGTGACCTTTTCTCCTGGGCTGGAGAAAGTAAGTAAACCAGCAGATGAAGCTTCTTGCAGTCGGCCTCATTTGGATTTGGTGCCCTCATGTGGAAAAAAAGTGTCAGCATTAACGGACAGCTCACATCTCTCCGCTTCGTTGCCTGATCAGTAACTTCTGTACCCAGCAGCTGCAGATGCAACCCAGCAAGACTGGCTGGCAATCTAGACTCACTTTACATTTCTGCTATGCAGCTAAAATGGCTACAGGTGTGCCACAGTGCTTCCCAGCACGGGGCTGGGATCCCCGTCTTTCGATTCAGCACAGCTGTACAGTAAAACCTTGACAGTTCACTGCCAGAAGAGCAAATATCCAGGTGCTAAGACAGATGTGTCAGTTCCTCGGAACAGCTTTTAAAGTAATTAACATTTGTCTCAGCATCTCTGTGGAACATGAGGTAGAGACCATCATGCGGTTTCTCATGAAAATAAGTGCCTTACTGTCAGTTATTTAACGCAGCTGAGTTTGAGTAACTTACTTAATAAACTTGGTTAAATTAATCCTTCCAAGAGAAGCATAATAGACAGATGTTTCAATATTCTCATTGAATAGAAGCAAAGGAGGTTTTTTAGAGGAGGTATATTTATTGTCTTTAGAAGAGGTGGAGTTCCTAGCAAATCATAGAATCATAGAATCGTTGTGGTTGGAAGAGACCTTAAAGATCATCAAGTCCAACTGTCTACACCATGCCCACTAACCCCACTAAACCATGTCTCAAAGAATGTCTGGAAATATCCTGAGCTCCATTTTCCTAACTATCACTAACAGGAACCTACATTTATTTCAGTAAAAGTACTTCTCTTTTTTCTTTTTAAATTAACTTTATAGAGCATGTAAGTAGCAGTCTGAAAATTCTTTGCTACAGCCAAAATATTTCAGTCTAAATTTTTGTTTCAAATAGAATACAGAAGAAAATGCTTTGGAAGTCAGCTGAAGATGTAGTGGAAATTTGGAATTAGATAGTTTTTCCCTTCAATTCATTGTATATATAGAAACTGATAGCTGTAAAAGAAATCAGTCTTTTAAAAAAAAAGGGGGGGTGAGAGGAAGGGATTTAAAGCGTGGGTATCTGAGATAATATTCTGGAACTGCAGCCCTAAATATGATTTATGCAGCAAATGAAACTTTATTTTCCTAATGAGTATTTACATGGTGATACTTGAATGGATTTTCTTCAAAGAAAACTGAAGTGCATCCTTCAGTACAAGTGGCAACTGGGCGGTAAACATTTCCTCAGGATCCCTTTTGTAAACTTTGATAATGAGTTGTAACTGAGCGTAGACCATAATGCTTCAAGATTTTGTAACTAGTTATACTTCAGCCTCGGCTTCTTTTTCCCTTCTAAGGTTTGCCTTATTCCTAAATCTGCTCATGGTACAAATCCAGCAAGCGCACAAATGGCAGGGATGAAGATTCAGCCAATTGAAGTAGATAAAAATGGGAACATTGATATGTCCCATTTAAAAGCAATGGTGAGTATTTAATTATCTTTAATTTTCAAGGCAGGAACACTCCTTATCCTCTACAGTTAGTAGTGTTGGCAGCCGAATCAGGTTTTTCTTTGAGAGAAAATAGGGCAATATTAGTGATTACATGCTTGAAAGGGTAAATAATTCTTTCCTTTTTTTACTCACTCAGACACTAGCCATGTCACACTTGTAAGATTTCCTTTAATTTGAGGAGCTTTGGTGCAGGAGTGGCTCAAAGAGTCTTTCTACACAGTAGGCTCTTTTATAGCAAACCTTTTTTGGTCTACATCTAGAATTTGAAATGAATGAAGCATGTTCATGACTGTGAAGCATTTGAAACTGCACTTTAGCCTTCGCTTAGCAAAGTTCAAGCCCACCTCTGCTGGGGACAGTGTTGCTAGGCAACTTTTTTCACTTTTTTGAGTAGAATGGCTGCAGGTGAATCCTGGGAATCCAAGGGATTAGCAGGACACATTTCCAAAAATACATATTTGAGCAGGCTTTTATGGTAGTCATAGAACTGTATTGCTGAAAGTAGGGGGATGGTCATTACATCACATAACCTTGAAGGCCAGATGTTACACTTGACTTAAGGTCCCAAAAGTTACTATTATACATACGTTTTTTAATACCATGCCTTCTTCCCTGATGTATTGAGAAAACACTTTTTCCATAGGTATTGCGGAAGGAAAAAGCCCAGTATCTTTTGCTGCCTATTAATGACTTAGACTACCTGCTGATAGACTTGTTTCTCACCTGTAAAACACCTGATGACCTTAATTACATGCTTTTGTAAAAACCTTCTATTAAGAAGGTTTAGGAGCATCAATGACTATTTTTTCTCTCTCCCTCCCTGCCACCAGGTGGACAAGCACAAAGAGAACTTGGCAGCCATTATGATCACATACCCTTCCACCAATGGTGTGTTTGAAGAGGAGATTGGAGATGTGTGTGACCTGATTCACAAACATGGAGGACAGGTTTACTTAGATGGAGCAAATATGAATGCCCAGGTACAAAATCTCGTAGATAGATTTATTACAACTGGGAGTGTATGTTTCTTTGAAAGAAAAATAGTACAGCAGTATTCGGTTCAGACCTAACACAGTTTCCTCACAAGATGACACAGTGTTGGGGGAGGAGGTGAGGTTTACAAGAACAGTAATAAAAATCAGATTGTGAAAATAATTCTCTTTTATCTGATTTTGCCCTGAAATGTCTTGTAAGATGTATGAATTGTCCACTGAAATTGGCTTAGTCTGCCTAATCTTCATCAAAGACATTCTTTACATTTCTTATGAATAAAAATTCCTAAAGCAAAAAATTGTTTGCATTAATTCTTGTTTGTGATGCATCATGTTAAAGAAAAACAGAAAAAACGATAACATCTTTTTCAACCTATTTTTCTTGAATGAAGTAATAGGTCTTAAAATGGCATGTAAAGAATATTTTGAGATAGAGTATTCCCTTCACAGGTGGGTCTGTGTCGTCCTGGAGATTATGGCTCTGATGTCTCTCACTTAAACCTTCACAAAACCTTTTGCATTCCCCATGGAGGAGGAGGACCTGGAATGGGACCAATTGGAGTGTGGGTATCTCTTTATTAGTGTTTTCTTTAAAGAAAAAAAAAAAAATGCCTTGGTGAATCTTGGTCAGCAGTTCACTTAAGTACAGAGCCATCAATGGCAGAGGTGTACTGTTGTTTGTAAACTTTTGTGCTTTTGCAGGATAGTCATGCCAATCTCATGAACGGTGATGTTCATGTGTATTCCCAAACTCTGACTTTCATGTTGGCCCTTTAGTGTGTATGGTAGACCTCGCTCAGCAGTCTGTTTCCTGAGTAAATGCAGAGATGATCTGTGGAGTTTGAGGGCTGATATTGTACATAGTCCAGAATGCAGAAGTGGTACATAAACTGCATTAATCTATCCTATAGGGTAATCATATTCCTTTAAAAGAAAATAATTCTACTCTTTTAAAAAATTCATTTTGATTTGGATAGTTGTATGAATATCTTGTGATAGGTTGAAAACTGAGTGCCATCCGCCATTGTCACCAGTTATGTTAATAAACTTTCTGTTGAAGAAGACATAGACCAGATTTCCTGGAGGACTGTATTTGGAAGGAAGGTGAAGAGAAGCTACTGCTGAAACTGTCCAGAACTGGTAACACAGGAACACACATATAAATTCTAAAATCAATGTTTTTGTTTTAGGAAGAAACATTTGGCTCCCTACTTGCCTTCCCACCCTGTCATCAAAATACAGCCGGATAAGGATGCATGTCCTTTGGGTACTGTCAGTGCTGCACCTTGGGGTTCCAGTGCTATATTGCCAATTTCCTGGGTGTATATCAAGGTGTGTAGACTTTTATAAGGAGTATCAGCTGAGGGTTTGTTTGTTTCAGCAAGTCTGAGGACTACTGGAACCACATGAACAGGTTTAACAGCAGCTCGTAATAAGATGTTTGCACAGACTGAAATGCATACGACTACGGCACAGTCATAGGTTATTTACATCCTTTGAACCTCCTTGTTTTCCAGTAGGACAACAGAACAGCCTATTGCCATCTGTTGCAATAGAAAAGGATGGCAGGACAACTGCTGTATCTATGCAGCCTGCTTAATTCTTCTGTCTCTTGTCTAGAATAATTCTTGAGACAAGATGATACAAGGCAGAAAGCTGAAATCAGGCATGCCTATCCACTGTCTCTGACATCAAAATTTTCATGTTTAAAAGCTGCTTGGTCATTACTGTTCTTCCAAGAATATTTTTGGCTATATGCTGCAGTATTGTTATGCTTGGCCTGTATGTAACATTTAACTTTCCAAAATATGTTTAACAAGAACCTGAATTCCAGGGGATTCTACTGAATTTGTAAACTGAACTTAGTTTTGGCTTTGCATGTGTGACAACTTGATCATGATCTATGTAATTTTTTAATGCCTTGCAATTTAGTGATAAGCCTGCAAATATTTGGTTACATATCTGGAAGTATTCAGCCAACAGAGATGAGTAGATTCAAATTCTCTTTGAGAAGAAGGTGTGCTGGGACTCTGAGCAATGTTTAAAGCACTCAGTGAGAGAAAGAGTTGGAATGGTGAATGTAAGGACAGTGTCATTCAGCGTATCCTGTAGCCAGTTTGATACTCTAAGCATGGAAACTTCAACTCCCAGGGAAAGCAGCTCTTCTGGAATTTGAAATGACCAAATAAGGGATGGTACAACTTTCATGGTGGCTTTTCAGCTGTGGGTAAAAATCACTTTTGACTGTAAGCTGATTCCTATTACAGAATATTTAAACTGTAGTAAATTTTTAAGGGAAGCTGTTCCTTCACAATGCAAACTGACATCTGTTTACACTGTCCTGTATAAAGGGGCTACCTTGAAGACTGTTTTGGCTTTCTCCTTTGCCAACTTAACTTCTAAGTGCAGTGTTAAGAAATTCAACCACAGCTCAATTCCAGCACTGTCCTTTTGCAGTGCTTTAACAGAGAAATAAGTGCATCTGTGTTCATTTGGCTCTGGACTATGTTAATGCACAGTATCACCTGAGACATGACACCAGCAAGTAGTTTGAGTTGCTGGGATAATCTGTACAGACAGCACACATAGCTTTTTGGGAAGCTCTCTGGTTTGGTAAGTTTGGTGACAGGCAGCGTGTGCAGTTCTTTGAAGTGTGCTGATGACATTCTTGAGTTCTGCTCACTTTTTTCTATTCACTTCAGAGCTTCTGAGTTTGAGGAAAGGTTTGAGTTGTTCACTTGTTGACTTTAAGAAAAACTTTTACACAGTAAGCGGTTTCATAAGGTATGTATACCAAACTTGCTCTCAAGTAATACCCAGTGCTTTTCTGTAAGTGTAGTGTGGAAAAATGTAATAGCACTGTGACTGCCTTAAAACTAGCCAGATGCATTAAGGTGCTGTTTTCTATCACACTTGCCAAGTAAAAAACACATTTAGCTTGCTTGGGAGTGTTTTTAAATCTCTTTCTTCATGTTACTCCTCTTTCAGACAATGGGAGCAAAGGGTCTGAAACATGCTTCTGAGATTGCTATACTAAATGCAAACTACATGGCAAAGAGGCTAGAGAAGCACTACAAAATCCTTTTCAGAGGAGCAAGAGGCAAGTATTGGACAATGTTTTCTTCTACAAAGCTGACTTTTTTTTCCTAGTGTAGAAGTTGGCTTGGAATAAGGTTCTTTTTTAATGCTACATGACAACTGCATCTCAAACTTCTCTTGGTCTTGTTCACAAGGAGAGAAATAACCTGCCACACTGCTTCTCTGCGGGTATTGCAATGAAACAGAAACTTGGAAGTAGAAGAAAAAAATGCGTGTTTGTAGTTAGATGCAATGATGGCAAAAGATGGAGTAAACCTTGGCGGCAGATTGTTCTCCTTCAAGTCTAGTAGCAGATTAATGAACAATGAAAAGGAGATGCAACAAATTTGAGACCTCCAAATCTCCCATAACCAATAGCACAACAATTTAAGAACTGGAAGCAATGTTGGACCTTCCACTTCTCTGAATGTACTTTCCCTTCCACACTTTCTCTGAAAAAAGAAGCAACCCAAACTTCTCTCATTTCTGCTCCTTATTCTCCTTTGTGAGATGGGGGAGCATCCCTTGGCAATGCAAAATACTTTAGCTACATTCTAGTTCCCTGCTACAGCTCTCCAGTCTTGTAGCAGGACAGAATTAAGAGTAACTATCAGAGAGTGCTATTTTGTGTGCTCAAGCTGGATGGCATCAAACTACGTTTGAGTACAGTATGTATGATTTTCAAAATATATGTATTAAATTCAATGGAGTACACCTTGGCTAAACCTGCAGGTTGCATTTTAAGAGAATATATTATTTACTCACAGAAGTGAATGGAAGTTGCAAATTTTGAAGGATTCAGCAATGAAATGGAACAAGGTTCTCCATGTTCATGGATATAAATTTAGATAACTTATCATCTTTAGCCTCTCTACAGCACTAAATTAGACCTGTCTCTGGCATAACATGAAACTGATTATCTTGTACATGGTTAATTCAGGACAGCCTAAGACCCAAATGGTGTTGGGCCACTGACAAATCCAATTATTTTTCAGAGTACTTGTAAATTATAGAAGCTACTTTGACCACCCTTTCGTAGTTCTGATCTTGGAAATTAATGTGACGTTGGACTCAGAGGGCCAATCTTCAACTACTGCATTGTGTATCTCTCACTTGATAATTTCTCAAGTTTGAATTTTTGCCCAAGTGGACATTTTTTTAAATATCTTTTTGCCATGTTCTCCACAAAACCAATCAGAATAGACTGCTTTGTAGATTGCATTATTCTCCTAGTAAGTAAACATGGTGAACATTTTTCCATTTACAGGTTATGTAGCCCATGAATTCATTTTGGATACGAGACCTTTCAAAAAAACAGCGAACATTGAAGCTGTAGATCTTGCTAAGAGACTTCAGGATTATGGTAAATCAAATGTCTTTTTTTTTTTTAAATAGCAACATAAGTGAGAATTTCCTAAATTTCTTCTAAAGGGAGCCAGAAACATTGTAGTCCTGTGCTTATGGATGGTGAACATGTCACGATCATTTCAGGTCTCCTCATATTCATTAAGAGCTTAGAGAGATATTTGCATCAATTGAGTTGTAGTAGCTGCTTACAAGTCTGCTGTTAGCTCCCCAGTTTTGTAAACTGCCCCTTCGAATTTGCAATTACATGACTCAACCATTGGAGGAAACCTTAATAAGACTCCAACAACAACAAAACCCAACCAACCAAAAAAACCCCAAGTACACACTTTTGAAGTAGGATAATAGGATTTAAACGCTTCCATCCTGATATAGTTTAGGCAGTTTTGTACACATGCTCTGAAGAATATGATTGTGGCTACTCATTGGCTGCCAGACAAGATGACCCATTGAACTGCTTGATCCTATGCAACTGTGCTTCTAAAAAATATGCATAAAACCAGTAGTACCTCATCAGTGAAATAATCCAAAGCCCACTTGTGACACCAAAAAACACACTGTTCCTGCTTTTTGTAAGTGGGCTGCTATGGCCTTCAATAGCATGCACCACTTTACTTTTCAGTAGGTATGGAGGTGAGTTACATGGATAAGTTTAGTAAAGTTCCATCCTCTGCAGCCAAAAGAGAAGTGTCACGAGGCTGTAATTAACAGTAGTGCAGGAACAGAATCATGAGAAACCACCTTTTCTTTTTACCTTGTTTAGCAGTGCAGAAATCTATGCCAGTATCACTTTTCTCTTCAGCCTGTCATAAGGAGGTAAAGTGACAAAATACTTCTACTGAAGTGAGCCGCAGGAACCGAAATAACCCAGGAAAGAAGCAATACACTTTCAGCTGAAAAGTAACAAAGCAAAAAGAGGAGGTTTTAAGAGCATTTACATTAAATCAGTGTGTAACTCCATTGTAAATAATACAATGGCATTACCCTTCAGTGTTAAAAACTAAGATACTTGAAAAGTCTGTCTTACCTCTACAGTGTGCTGCCAACACAATCAATGAGTCCTGTGCTGTAAAGACTATAGAAAGGGCTGAATTTGTAAATCAATTGCTAGCTAGTGCATATATTAACTGATAACCTGTCATCAGTGACTGATTTCTTCTTTATCAGGGTTTCATGCTCCAACCATGTCCTGGCCAGTGGCAGGGACGCTTATGATTGAACCAACAGAGTCTGAAGACAAGGCAGAGCTAGACAGATTTTGTGATGCAATGATCAGTATTCGGCAGGAAATTGCTGAAATAGAGGAGGGCAGGATGGACCCGCAAATTAACCCACTAAAGGTAAGATGGCATGTAGAGCAAGTTACTGTCATCAGCGTAACCCTCGAGACTCACTTGAGAGTACGTGAGCCTGCTTTCATGTCTTTCAGTACTCTCAAAAATAACTTTGCAACAGTGAATGCATGAACTTCTTGAATTTGACTTTTTTAGAAACCTTAAACTTTTTCAAAATTTGAATTTTGACTTTTTGAAGTCAGAAGTTTGGCCTTTGCTGACAGAGCAGAGAACGTTATTTACACAAGGGCATGATCTATAATTTTCAAGGCCATCTCAAAGCAATGAAGCAGAGATGCTTATTTATCTGGTTTAAGAAGGGGTCGGACCGTAAAACTAACAGTAAAATAAAGTTTGAATGAATTGGTTTAGCAACTACAGCACAAAATTGCTATAGGCTCAAGTTCTGTTCAACTCTTGTAATACTGTACTGCCTTTTTAAATATCAAGGGGATTTAGTGAAAAGCTGGAAGCATATTCATACCTTGGGTAGTATCTTCAAGAAAACTGAAAAAAATCCAGATACTGACTTGCTTCCTGTTTTAAATCTGCCTTTTTTTTCCCCAGATAAATGATATTCTCAAGAGACTCTCTAGATGGCAATTATTTATATGTAGTAATGTGTACTTGAAGGAGGGTTCAACTGAATTCAGTAATTTTGTGTCCTAAACATGTCTTTCTCCTTGTAGATGTCACCACATACTCTGAACTGTGTCACTTCTTCCAAGTGGGATCGTCCTTATTCCAGAGAAGTGGCAGCATTCCCACTGGTGAGTAAATAATGGGATCCTAGTAGTGTGGTAATACATAAATGTGCTTTCTGCTCTGTGGTTTTCTGGTCAGTTGGAGATGACCAGATTCTGGTCAGTTGGAGATGACCAGATTCTGGTAAGAGGAAAAACTCCAGAGCCATTTTTACTGTTGCTCAATTTTTATGTATGAGACCTCTACAGTAGTTCCATTAGTTTTGTTTTTCAAGCCAAGGAAAAAAGATCTTTAAAAAAAAGTGAAGTGCAGACTTGGATTTCTAAATTTCAGTGCTTCAATACTGGATATTGCTATTGGAAACAGCCCTTTGAGTTCTGACATTCTGCACCAGGGGCTCCCAAAACAGAGTCCCACATCCTGATGTTCAAAGCCCTGCTCCAGAGAACTTGATGAGGGTTTAGAAAGATGCACGGTCAGCATGGGGCAAGCCACACAAGTGTGAACCTGCTACAAATAAAGGTCAAATTTGAAACGGATACATCAAATTTCTTCAGAGCATGATATAAAATTGCTTCCACAATTTTAACAGATAAATATATTTTATTGCTATGTACTCTTTCAAAGAGGAAGAATTTAACTGCACCTGTGAAGTCTGCCACCTTGTTTTATATATTATATTATAACTATACTGAACAGCACAGGTCTTGGTAGTCTCCTCCACTTTTCCTTGTCCCCTATCTGTTATTCGAAGGGTCCTAGTTTTCTTTTATCCCATGACAACTGCTTCTTTGCAAGCATTTGTTAAAGGACATGGTTACACTTTTTTAAAAATCTAAATATTCTTTTGACCACCAACTCCATTATACATGCTTGTTAACTTTCAGGGACTGCAAATAGATTTGAAGTATGACTTCACTTTAAAAAATCCACTTTTCCAGGATTTGTCATTCTTCAAACTTCTAATGTCTATTACAATTCTGTAGCTTTGCTTGGCAGAAAAATTAAAATAGTTGTTTTTCCTTCTGTACTTAGCCTTTCGTGAAGCCTGAAAGCAAATTTTGGCCCACAATTGCTCGCATTGATGACATATATGGAGACCAACATCTGGTTTGTACCTGCCCACCAATGGAAGCCTATGAATCTCCCTTTTCTGAACAGAAGAGAGCATCTTCGTAAGAGTGCTTCCAGCTGCCTAGATTTCTGAGTCCATCAGGATGGCCTTTTCCTCCCAGATCTGATAGGGGATTTATATACTGTGTATATTCTGGATAATCACCATGTTTGTTAATTGAATCACTGCTCAGTTAAAATGTAAATAAAATCAATACGTTAGGTGTAAACAAAATGTGATTGTTCCACCACAGCTGATGTTGAAGTGGCCTTGATTCGGCATTTTGTCTGTTTTTTGCTAAAGTTTTAACAATTAACACCCAGTTTGCAAAGTGGCACGGAAGATATGGTTAAAAAAGTAGAAAATATGTAGATACATAAGGCAACACAATGAATATTAACTTCAGGAGTAATTGTTTCTGTATTGTAAAAAAAGATGAAGTAGATTGTTTAATTTACTTCATGTATTACCACTAGCATTGCTAGTGTTAATATTTCATACTGTTTTTTTATCTACCAATGTTAGTACTCTAATAAAATTGGTCAGAATTTTAAGTGTTGTCATGGTCTGGATTTTAACTTTCCAGCTGGATTTTTCCAACAGAACAGTATGAAATTATGAAGCTTAAATTCTGATTTGTCAGAATTACCACAGCAGTAACAGCTTCTACACAAAGCAATGATTGTTACAAAGGTAAAATTACATCTGTTTTCACCATAAAATACTGAGTTACTCTTTTGTAAAACACAGAAGTTC